AAACTGCAATATCGATGAAGGTACATTTAAAGCAATAATGTAAAAAAAAACGTAATGTGTAAACGGAGCTAAAACGATAGATCTCATTCAATACCTAAGGTATATTTTATGAATGAAGTTCCTATGCAAGAAAATAAACGAAATATTCCAGTAGTGTTTCAAACAGTAGATAAACAATTCCCCAAAATTTACAATATGATTTAAACATTTATCAATAATTGTATTAAAACGGTTATAACTTTTATCAATAATTGTATCAAAACAAAAAAAAAATTAAAAGGCGTTATCTTATATTGTTTTATGAATAAATTAGGTTTACATTTAAAGCTGGTTAAAGACTATTTTATGATAATTCTTCAAAACTTACAAAGAGGTCAACCAAAGATCGTAAGTCGGATTAAAATCGACAACACCATAGCCGAAACGATAAACGATGAAAAGATAATATAACAGTCCACGAAACAGTTTACAGACAACTTAAGATTGAGGCTCCGAACCCCATCAAAAACCAGGTGTATTCTGCGGAAAGATAATCATTTTCTGCTCCACAAGTGGTATACGTTGTTTTATTCATTGCAAGACTTTTTGTGATAGGTAGCATTTGGTAATGTCACAATAGAAGAAAAGAAAATCCTGACTGTAGCAACGACAATTGGAACATATTCGTGCTCATTGATGACATAGATATTACATCGGTTTCAACCAAATCATGGTTGCGTCAGAAAGATGAAAATTGCTTCCATGCTTCAAATTGTAAGAATTTGACTTCTTTTATACAGTGTACTTTTACCAGTTGGTTTGACATACGCGGGTTTGTATTGACGATTTGAATATACGAAATGTTTCCACGACTAAAATAATTGTTCAACAAGGATATAGATTAGATATATTTGATTGGTAAATAATTTAGCTAAGTGTTATCACATATATATAGGGATTTATTTTAGATGTATTATTTTACTAGAAGAAATTCAGTCAAAAGTGGGTGTTTCACATTCAGCTTTTTACTGTATATTTAACAAAGCAAACACGGTTAGGAGTTGTCCTTCGACATCTTTCTTTTTTCAATAATATACGTACCGTTGATGTTCAATCTTGCAGGTATGAAACTAGACTAGAATGTTTCTTAAATCAGTAGATTAAGTACTTGAGGGAACCAATTCATTTTCGGGGGCGGGGCAGAGGGGTTTTGAAAATGAATATTCTGAGTTAAAAATAAATAACTTTGCCAAAGATATAAAGGAAATGAATATTCTGCAACACAAACTGCAGGAAATAATTGTGAACAAAAGTGAAAATAAATTTTCGGAAAAAAAATAAGCACGCGTAGCAACAAATAAAAATAAATAGTTTAAACCGCAACAAAACCCCCTTATCAAATGGTCGTCTCTAATGTACTTTTGCATCTCCTATTTCATTTCTTCAACTGTATGATTCTTTGAGTTTACTTTGGGATGAACATTAGTACACATTTGGGGGATACCCTTTTTGTATATGCTATTCTCCTTAAACCACTTATTACCATTTATGGAATCTTTTTCACAATCCAAACCATATAATTTTATTTTGCAACTCTTATTTTGCTTTGTGTCCGAATCCATTTTAGGGGGTTCCCTTACCAAAGCATTGACTTTGCAAGGTGTGGGGGTATCATTTTGTGAACTTTGCTCACGGTCCCTTTTAGTAGTTTTACTTGTATCCATGTTTATGTTGTTATTTCATTTTACCGGTTTTAAAGAAGTAAGTGTATTTTCTGAATTGTATTAAATTCTATGTCACTCTATGAATTCTACATGAACTCGTGTTTCTCGCCAATATGTAAAAATGTTAAAATGTCTTAAAATATATAACAAATATTTCGAAACCGTGCTATTTCGAAACTCGCCAGCAAAATTCCTTGGATGTTTTTACGCGACTTTTGGGTATAAGTAATACGGACTAACAGCACTATGCAGGGCGTAAGTGTCGGGAGCAAAATGGTGGGGTGTGGGTGAAACTATGTGATTAAAAAGTTAAATTATGGAAAATAAAAAATGAACATGGAAGGAAATAGGACACTGACTTACTTCTGGACTATTAGACTATATATTTGTTTCCCTTGCAGTCACGTTCGTAAGTCCCCCCCACACACCCTCCGTTTAGTGTACTTCTACGCCACTGCTATATTTAAAGAGTAAATGGCACCGTCAGTGGGGGATTTGACATGGAGCGGAGCAGAGCCTCTGTTTTTACAATCTTGTGTAAAACAAGTAAAATTTTCATGATTTATTTCAAAATAAAATATTTAACTCCTGATGAAGGTAAATCCAGAAAAGTGCTTCGGACGCAAGAAATTTATAACGTGTTGTTCTCATTTTTTTAACAACGTTGTTGTCAATGACGCCGATCTGATATTAGTTTTCACAAGCTAAGGATTGGATCAAAAACATGAAATTTGCTATGTGTATCCATCATAATTTATTGCAATAAAGATTAGAAACACGATAAAAGTATTGTTCTTTAAAGTACTGTTTCCTTTAGGTTAAAAACTTCGGAGAAATAACTGATATGAATGAAACAAGGAAGGAAACCACTGTTGCATTTCACTTGTTCTCAGTTTCCCAGTCTATTTAAATGGATAAAGATTCATTCAAAATTACTTAGATAAAAATAAGGATGCAATATGATTGCCAACGAGACAACTCCCTACCAGAGTTCAAATGACGTGGATATAAGTAAATGATAATTAAAATATATTCAATGCATTTTACTGAATTTAATATGTCAAACTTTATGGCCATATTTATTCTTTTTGATGAAAAGGTGATTGTACAAGTAATCCTCAATTAATGGATTTTGATTTTCAAAGTGGCGCATGGTAGGTATTACTTGAAGATAAAATCAGATGTCAATAGATGAGGGATTAAGTTTGAAAACTGTATAATTTATGGTCCAGCAACTGGTATTACACACTTTACTAGCTAATCCACGAGGATTTTTAAAATTTTGTAAGCAGGCATATTTTGGAAATATTTTGAAAGTTTGGAATGTTTTATAATATCTTTCGACTGTCTTAAATTATATATATTAAGTCCTTTAATTCCTGATAGTATTTCAGCAATGTCTCTGATTTGCTATGTATTTGAAAATTTGAGACCAGCAAGTTTGACTTCTTTTGAGAATCATTGTTTATGTTGCTGTTGTTGTAGCTCCTTTCAATTAAATGACAATGGATAGTTGTTTTATTGGCAATCATTTCACAGCACCCCCTTTATTCTTATATTAAATCCACTTTTGTAGTCTTTTGGTTGGTAGAAAAATTTGTATGATACTTATTCTTGATCTGAAAACTTACAACTTCAATTCAAAAGGGTATAAATGAAAAAATATTTTCAAGACTAAGAATTTAAATCTAAATATTTAAACATCATTTGACTTGAGCAACACGTTAATCTAGATAACAACAAACAGTTAGCTGATAATTCACACTAGAGAAGCCTGTATATAAGGTGAGATAAATTCCCTTTTTATAGCATTATGTACTATTTCATTATGTCACCCCGAACGAATCCTCCGTTTCTTTGTTATTATTATTCTTCCAATGATTTTTTGTTCGCGCAATTTCTCAGTTACTATTAGAACAATCTTAATGAAAATAAACCATAACGAGAACCAACATATGTAGATGTGCAGTAATGATGCAGGAATTTTTAAAATGGCCGCCGTTACTATGTAAAATACAAACATTGAGTTTTGTTATGCCTACTTTGAGTAAACCTGATCTATAAATCATGAAATTTTTATACAACGTAGGTGTCCGCTATACTAGTATACAGGTTTTGTATGATATTGAGTATCGTCGGAACTTCACGGCCGCGCCTTTTCCCTAGAGGAAAACACAAAAGTAGCATTTTTTAAAGACAATTAGTTCAAAACCGAAATAATTTGAATAGATTTGTTATCTTCAATGTATAGATATCGTTTAGTGGCAACGGGCGGATGTGACATCCGCCATTGCTTGCAATGTCATTTCTAGTTTTTATTGTTGTTGCACACACTTTATATATTGTATTCTCTCACTTGTCTGTATACTAGCGTTACTGTTAGCAATATTAACACTTTATTGACCAGAAGTATTCAACAAACAGCTGCTGCTACCTTTGCCAACTTTCTGTAGCAGGAAAACACATTTTTACCATCTTTCCATATTTTATATCATAAATAATTCCTGGTTTAAACTCCTTGATAAATTAACTTGTTGGTAGCTGGACTGTGCAAAATTTATTGAAAATACAAAGGGGGATGTTTGTGCACACATAAAACTGGCCGAAATTGTCTACCCTTTTCAAAAATTGACCACAGTAGTTGACTGGAGTATAGCTATTTCCGACCGGCAGTGAAACCCTGGGGTCCGTAGGTGGCCAGTTGCAAGGCTAAATTTCTATTCCTATCCAATATACCCTCATTTTCCAGTGGCATTCCAAATTTCCCGCCAATCGTCCCGGGGAACCTACCTATTGTTTTTATTGTTAACTTGTTTTTGTCCTGAACATGCCTGAGATATTTGCCACTGGAAATAAAGCAAACAACAATCAATCAATATTTTCAGGATAGTCCACATATAATATGGAGACATTTTAAAATTTTGACGAAGTATGATTTTGTCAGAACAGTACTATTTTTATCTTCACGGTATTGCTTCCAAAATCAGATTATAGGTTATAGCATGAAGTGAGGTTTCAATGAAATTCCCTAAAAAATAACATATATTTACATAGATATCCCAAAGATTATCTTTGGCTGATACCTGCTGGGAAAAACGCAAAATAACGGATCATACTGATACCTACATACAAAAACAAAATGTCTATTATTTAACAAATCTTCCACTCGTGACATCCGCCGATGTATAATCAGTGAAGGATCACGGAAACGTAACTTAAAAAATATTCTAGGAAAAGCAGCAAAGTAGTATTACAAACAAATTAAATCGTATATTTCACCACACTTTTATTCTGACGTATAGACGTAAATTAAAGTATGGCAAATAACACCGATTATGTCAAGGTACTTTGGGAACTGACATACTCCGACGTCGCTCTAAGCAGTTCCATACTAATAATCATCGGATGTATCGTTGGAATCCTAGGGAATGGTTCAGTTATAATATGTTACTTCTTTCGGATTCAGGAAAGAGGAGAGCGTTATTTTATTCCGGTGTTGGCAGTCGTAGACTTAGTTGCGTGTTTAACAAGTTCTATTTTCTACGTCATGGATAATGCATTTTTTTTAAATTATCCCTATGACTTGATGTGTCGTATTCTGATATTTTTGCAGCTTCTTGTGCCAGGGACTTCGGCTAGTTTATTAGTCATAATTAGTGTTCAAAGATATCTGTTAGTTTGCAAACCTCACGGACCAAGGATGACATTACGTTGGAAAAGGATTGCCATTGTTGTTGTATGCTTGTTTACTTTGGCTTACACTGCACCGGTCCTTGTGATATCTGGAATTAAAACATCAAATGAAACGTTTCAGAATCATACAATACAAATTACAATCTGTAAATTTTCCACAGCAGAAATTACAGCTAAGATAAGAGCGTACATCGTTTTTTTTTTACTGCTAACGATTGCCAGTATTCTGATAACAATAAGTTTGTTCATATTAGTTTTGAAGAGGATAAAACTCTCCTTTCTCGGGAAATTCAGAAGTGGGCGTAATGCAAGTAAACATCGAAATACACCACCTAATACTGATTCAACAAAGGATATAGAACTGGACAAATGCGAAGGAAAAACTCATGGAACTCAAATGCAGAAACAATCCTCTACTTTGGGAGTTGGTCTTGATACTAATAAACCAGTAAATACTTTAAAGAAAGAGGACAGCGAACGAACAAGAAAGGAAAAGGCAACAAGAAGAATAACGATTATGTTTTTCGTCATTATTGTTGCTTATGTTTTATCTTATATTCCTTCTTTAATCATTTTTATTGTAGTATATACCCTCAAAGATTTCAATTATATTTCTGTGTCAAGAGAGACAACATTTGTTATTACTTACCTTTCGCGTTCTGTGTTTCTAAACCATATTGTTAATCCCTTTGTATACAGTTACTTCGATCCGAATTTTAGAAAAGAATTGAGAAAGTTATTTGCATGTGTAAATAAATAGGGGGTGATACAAAATAATAGATAAAGTGTGAAGACACAGTAGGATTAGGAAAATGATTAAATTAATTCAATAATAAACATTTTAACTATAGATGTCAAGAGAAAAGATATCACTGCCGATTTCGGTGGAGGCATTTTGACTGGTTTAATATACTATCCTTCTTACTGTCAACGTTAACGGTAAACTCTTCTCATGTTGCTATAAAGGAAAAATTTCAAACAATACAAGAATGCAGATGGAGATATTGCTGAGAGAGAAATGTGAAAAATATTTTATTCCTAGTATGGAGTACTCGTTGCATCCCTTAAAAAGCAAAAAAAAGTGATGCCATTGCCTGTCAAATGGTTCTGTTTTTCTTTTGGACTAAAATGTTAAAAGTAAATTGTACACTTAATAAGACGATCAAAGTATATTACGTTTATGCGACTTTTTCGGAAGATTTTCGATTTATATGTAACTTGATACAGATAAGACATAAATTAAAAGATATTTGCACAGAAAGAATAAAACAACACATAAGATAAATGACATATCCATTTTTGTTAAAAGTTGTATTGAATTTCATTTTGCAGTGCGATTGTTATAATGCAATAAGGAGACAATACATTAAGCCATATTATTATAGGCGTCCATGGTCATTGAAGCTTGTACAGTTGTTGAGCTCAGAAAATGTACATTGTCGAGACATATGTAACCTTTAAAAAAAATGTCCATGTATTTAAACGTAGAACAGACTTGTTTTATCCAATACTTAATATAGGCCATTATTCTTCTCTAATGTATAAATTTATCAGTTATGTATTATAACTGGTGTTAATTTATCAGTTATTGTAACTACATATATATATATTTTTCTAAAATCAAGTTTATTCCCCATGCTCAATTAAAATATCGACTTCACCATCTCATTAAACAGAGCTTTTCTATAAAAATGGGAATCGTAGATATAAATTTTTTGTTTTGGGTTATAATAGTTCGTATTTTGTGAAGAACCACACTGATTCTACCAGAAGATATACTGAAGATGATATTATCAAAATGCGGACTTTTTGATCGACAATATATTTGTTGAGTTTAGAGGATTGATATTTCAACAGACAGTCGACATGCCAATGGGTACTAATTGTGCACCCCTACTGGCCGATTTGTTTCTGTACTCGTATGAAGCAGAATTCATTCAAAACCTTCTAAAAGACAAAAAGAAAAAGCACCTTGTGAAATTCTTTAATTTTACTTTCAGATATATTGATGATGTCCTATCACTGAATAAAACCATATTTCAGCCAGAACGTACATCTCATATATATCCCAGTGAACTTGAAATTAAGGATACTACTGATACTAGAAGGGCTGCTTCAAACATTGATCTTTTCCTCAATATTGACACAGATGGACGACTTCACACTAAATACTATGACAAACGGGACGATTTCAACTTCCCAATTATCAATTTCCCATTTCTCAGCAGTAACATACCCTATGCCCCATCGTACATATCTTAGTTGATACGTTATGCTCGTGCATGTTCACACTATACGGACTTCATATACAGGAGTGTGCTCCTTACGCAGAAACTGCTCTAACAAAGTTATGAGGAGGAAAGTTTAAAAATGACACTCCGTAAGTTATGGACACCATAACGAATTGGTTGATCTATACGATGTGTTTGTGTCTTAACTAACTAACGACATTTGTACCACGTCTTAGATAGTGGTTTACCATCTACGTCGTCTGGTCTTCTAAGTGCCGACCGTGACCTATTCCCGAATATGACTGTTTTGCTGAGTGTAAATTCGCATTGCTATTAGACGTGTCTCGGTATTTGTACATCCAAGATTCATGTATTTTGTTATGATGTTTCATTTGTAAATATGGTTGGGTGTTGTTTTATGTCTTATCGTTTGTGGTTTAAATTCTATTTTTATTTTCTATATGCATGTAAAAGTAAATATTAATCATCTAGTTCTTTTATATGATTTTTAGTTTAAAGCAACTATATGCACATGATTTATTTGTTTTTACACAGCAGTTTGATTTAGAAGAAAAAACGACATGGTTAGAAAATACAAATAATTACACCATTACTAACACAATTCTAAATTAATATTCTTGTAATTGTTAGAAAATACATCAAATAACACCTTTACAAACTTAATCCCAATTTTATATTCTATTTTTTGAAAATTACCTGTGACGTCACTTGATAAATTCGTCTGACGCACAGTTCATTATTCTATTGTACTGTATTTGTGTTCTGTCGTAAATTAATTTTAGGTGTTTTTCCCAAAAGGCCTTTAAGTATTGACATTCCATAATTTTTTTTTATAGTGTGATTACACATGTCACAATTACTGTCATCTTTTATCTTCCATTTAAAAGGACCTGGAGTGGTTTACAAGGAAGGATATGATGCAACAATTTCAATTTAAATATTTTTGTTCTGTTATCTTTTGAATAAATAAATACAAATTTGAGCATTGATTTAATTGGAATTAAAGAATTTAAATCTAGTACACTTTTCCATTTTAAGAAACCTGGAGACATGTCTTCATTACTAGTGTTATTAACCTGTGTATATATCTGATTTGTTTCCATTACTTGTAAACATGTTATCCTTTTGTCATAATGCAAAGTTTAAGTTTATTTTTTACTTTTGATTTTATTGATTTATCTGATTTAATTACCTTTAACCATTTGTTTGGAATAGCATATTTTAGTTTTGAAATTTCAAACATTAGATTGGATTTTGAGGATACTTTATTAGATATTATACTTTGAGAGATATTACCATTCTGGCATATATATTTTACATGTCATTGTGCTGATGAGTATTATTTGCTTAAAGTATATATATATATTAAAGAATTGAATTGAATGAGTTTTGATTGTTTATAACGGATTAATCTTCTACACGGTTTGTAGGATGAGTGTCACACTATCTGTCCGTTAAAGAACCCTTTCAACAACTCTATGAGGGGTCCGTACAAGGCAGAACCTACTACTGTTAATTTGTTCTCGTCCTCAATATCCATGAACTTGATTTTAAACAAGCAACAATCAATCAACCAGAAAGACGCAAAAATGATTGTTAAATTAAATGATATATTCAATTGTGATGTGTATATCTATTATGTATGAATTATATTGTAATATGACAAAATAAAGTAAACGTATTTCATTAGTAGTAAGATAGTTAAAGGCCATTTTATGAGAATTCTTATTAAAAAATATTACCAATTGACCAATCAAAAACCTTAAGTCGGATTGAAATAGACAACACCATGGCCGAAAAGATAAACGATTAAAAGAAAAGAAAAGAAAACCAGTCAACGAAACAGTTACAGAAAATTCAAGACTGAGGCTCCGAACCCCTTCAAAAACCATAGTAATCTATAGTGTTGTGGAAAGATGAGTAATTCCTGTTCCACTAACAGTAACCGTTGTGTTACTCACCACAAGAACATATTATGTGAGAAGTCGCAATTGGTAATGTCACAATCGAAGAAAATAAACACGGGATTGACGTTACGACATTTGGAACATTTTTGTGCTCATCGGTGGTAAAGATATTCCATCGGGTTCAAGCAAATCATAATTGTGTCTGAAAGTTGAAAATAGCTCCAATGCTTCAATAATAGACATCTCTATTGTAAGAATTTAGTAAAATTTTGACCAATTGATGACTTCTGTATAAAAGCATCTTAGTGATGAAAATTTTAAATGACTCATTAAAATCCGAGTCGTTACTGCAATGAAGTGCACTACACATAAAATCATCTGAAATATAAACTCCATTAGAAAAAGACAAAGGAAAATGAGATTTCAATCGGCAAATTTGTATCTTATAAATATACCAAATTGGCAATGAAATAACAAATCCAAAGTTATCAGTGGTTAGACTTGATATTAGAATTTATCATGGTAATCTTCAAAAAACAATTTATGGTTGTTTACTATTATAAATTTTGACTGGGATGGAGAGTTGTCTCATCGGCACTCATACCACATCTTCTTATATCTATGACAAAAATAGGCAAATTTTCCCTTCTTCTGTTAATCTACCTTTCCTTCTGATAGTTTCTATTTCTGACGATTACCTATTGTTCTTTTTTCTTTATAATGGTTAGTTTTCATTTCTAACGTTTAGTTTTCATTTGCTCTGTCATTGGCTCACACCGAACAGCAAGCTATAAAGGACCCCAAATTGACTGGTTTTAAACAATTCAAATAGGAAAACCAAGGGTCTAATCTATATAAATAAACTGCTTCGCTGAGCGCAGCTGGATACGCCCGCAGAGGTCCAACCCTGAACAGTTGGGGCAAAATGGACACAATATTCAAGCTTGATACAGGTCTGAATTTGGATTATAATTAAATATTTGACATATTATAGGTTTCTGAATAAATGTAGTCAAATAACTTGAAATTGTTTATATGAATTGAATTTATATTCAATTAAAGATGTCTTGCTGTTGCGCAATACTTAGTTTATACAAAGTCCTTAGGAATGGTCCTGAATATTTTTAACTGTAATTTGTGCCATGTTTGACTAGAGTACCGAATTTGGATTGAAGATATACTAAAGGTCCATTCATAATTTGTTGTAACATTGTACTTAATATTTAAGTGTCTGTGGTTTATACTGTACATATTTCTCCTTTGGTCAGTGGATGTGTGTTTTGTAATAATGAAAAGTATGTAACGCCTGAGTAAACATCCAGAAAAACAGTTACCTCCTTGCAAAAATCTTTTGACCTGACATTAAAAACCTGTCTGAGTATAAGTCTAACTTGCCGAAATGTGTGCCCAATGAACAAAATCCTCAAAGTCACACATAATGAGTTCTTAAGACAATTAATATAAGCAACATTTTAATTATCCTGATTTGCTTCAGAACTCTCCATTTGAACTCATGATATGTAAAATTAAGCATTTAGTACTCATGTCAACAATATAATCAACATAATTCCAAATCCTGCTCTATCCCATTATAAATAAACTTCTGTGTAAATACATGTATTGCGTAGCAGTGCCAGTTGTATCTAGGTTTGAATGAAACATAAATCATAAATGAACTATAACTTTTATTATTTTATATTCATCACTTAATTTTGGCCCTTGGGGAATCTACTCAGCTAAAATTAAAATTTTTGCGCCATGCATAAGCCAAGAGCCTTTGTTCGTACTGAAAAGTAGCAAAGTAAAGACCCCTGGCTTGACATCACAACAATCCAATTGGATATATGGTTCCAAATAAATGCGTGAGGCTATCAGGAAGCATATGAGGCTATCAGGAAGCCTATAAGGCTATCAGAAAGCCTATGAGGCTATGTCTGAGGAAGCCTATGAGGCTATCAGGAAGCCTATTATGATGCTATGAGGAAGTCTAGTATGTGGCTATGAGGAAGCCAAGTAGTGTTGATGTTGTATTGGTGTTGGAATGAATTTGTATGAAATTTGACAGTTTATCCCCAGAAATTCTTGGAGGATGAGTGAAATTTTTGAAACAACCAGTGATAAAATTTTATAAATGTCCATAACACAGATGGTAACAGCTAAGTGTCCCCAAGGAATTGTGATGTAAGGGAGGGGATACCTTCAATAAAGCCATGAGAAAAAAGAAAAAAAAACATAAAATACACACAAAACATAAAAGAAAAGCTAAGAATAATCACATAATGATAACACATAAAAAACATACTTTAGTCACACAACAATACTGAAACTACTTTGAAAACATTCATGCATATTTCTTCTTATTTTTATATATATGAAGAACTTGAAATATAATATTTTCTTTCAGCTACCTAACCTACTTTGAAAAGATTTTATAGATACTGGTGTTACTAAATACATCTACTGTAAATATCTGAGGACCAGCTTGATCTTCTATTTGTCTTTACAGCTCTAGAAGCTGTCCTTATTCTAAAGCTATGATCTGAGTAACATATAAGTAAATAATGTCTTTCTAAAATTTCTTATCAATGGTTAAGAAAAGTGGGTCATTTGGATGGATAGGAGTAAATTCCTACATTACTGTATAAATTCTAATAAAATCTTGTATGGGCAGATAAGTATTAATTTAATTAAGCCATAATTTATGTAGCTGAATGCTTATGCCCTTTCTAAACAGAACAGTTTTTGAAATTTTTTTGATTTAAAAACTACTAAGTTGGAGTAAAATGCAGCATCTATAATGCATATATTTACAGCTGTATCAAATGTACATGAGGCCTTGAAAATGTAAACTTGCCACATCTATAAAAAAAAATCCATAAAAGCTACAAAGCATGCAGTTCTTTAAACATCAAATCAGTAAACTTGAAAAAAAAAAAAAAAAAAAAAAACCTTTTTGCAGACAATTACCATTTTCTCTAAAATCAAAATTATGGAAATCTGATATATCTTGGTTTTTGCAGTATATTTACAGAATTTAACACATGTTCAAGCCTAATTACGGTGTATTACTTTCTGACAGCAAAGGATAATTTTAATTACCTTGCAGATACCTTTACCTTATTCTACATAAATACACATTAATGGTAGAGTATAGTAAACTCAGAATTTAAAGCAATATTATAAAATCATCAACAACAGCAGGTAAACTAGTAATTATAATCCATTCAATATAACATAAAGGTCTCAAACTTCTGAACGCAGTCTCATAAACAGTTCCTGTAGTATTAGCATGTTACTGTTCCAAAGATCATCAACTGCTGATTTAGGACCACATTACATCTGAGCTGCATAGGCACTTCATTGAAAGTTGTGCTGCACTGGGTCTGGTTTGTGAAATCTGTCTATCCAGAGGTGCATGTTGAAATGAGGAGGCTCTAGTATCTAATGTTTGTATGGTTGAATATGGATAATGTATCCTGTTTAAAACATAGGAACATGAACTCTGATTCATATGACTAGTTACTGAACATTATGCATTTACTACAGATGAAGTTGAATCCACAACTAAAAGTATTAGTCCCTTTCTTCCAAATTTATCTAATCTAGTTTAATTAGTCCAGGTTAAAAACATCCCATTACATAACAGTTAAACATCTAGAGCACTGAGATTTAACATTAAAGTCTCTTAGGTATGTTCCATGGAGATCGGAACTGCTTGGTACTGAATTCTCTGTCATTATCCAAGATTATTGAACAGGTTATAACATGATATGAATACCATCAATGTTCAAGTGTATAATGTATATATGACTGAGAAGCAATGATAAATATAAAGCTTAACAATTAAGTCTGTGAAGGTGTTGATCCAACTAGCATTAAATAATATAGTCGAGCTGTTGCCACAGCTATGCAGGAAAAGAAGCATGTCAAACTGGTAGAGTCCAATGCTTGTGATTGTCCATCTGATGTTCCCAATGTGCATACAGGAGGTGCAATGTCTCGATAACGATACTGAAGTTGTGTATCTTTTAATTACTTTACAGTTTTTCCTTTATTCGTCTTTGTGCTATTATGTTCCTTTGGTTGTATGACTCATGACGTGAATTGGTATTTGTTCATCAGCTATCCATGTTTTTAGCGGTTCCTGTTGCAGGTGGGTCAAGAGGTGCAATTATGATGCAAGAGGTTTTTAAAGTGTTGTTTTCACTTGATACTGTTGTCTGTATATTTTACTTGATTTGTACTTTATTGAGAAACTATATGCTGTATGTACTATCAACTACAAAAACTTTTTGTTGCTGTGTAGATTTATTTGTATGTAAATGTTTGAGTTTTTAGTCAGATTTGTATGTTGGTGATGTATGTTTACACAGTTTTGCTGCTGGATCCTAATTATTGTCACATTAACCTATTATCTCTGTTTGGGTTGCTCACCCAATTGTACATGTAGTAAAAAGATACTTGCCTAGAACATTT